TAAGTAGTAGTAGTTATAGTTGTACAGCACTTTGTGATTGTATCTATGATAAGTGCTATATAAATAAAGTGTACTTACTTACTTACTTAAGTAACTAAGTAAGTGAGTAAGTAAAATTACCTCATGTTATCTAGCACACAAGAGAATCATGCAGCCCTGTCAGACTTACTACAGTAAGTCAGTATACTGACACCTCACGATCATCGTATAAAAATTAAATAACTTAATATAAAAACAGATGAGGTTGTTCTCACCGTAGCAGTGTCTGGCACCTCCAGCTTGGTTTCAGTAGGAGCTTTGACAGCAATGACTGTCTGGTCTAGGAGACTGGCGATGGAGCGGATGTCCTGGTACGTCACGTAGCCAAACGTGCAGCGTGAAGTCAAAGGTAACAACGTAAAGTGTGTGCTTGTATAAGTGGACTCAGACAGCAAGGGAATAATAAAGCTCGAGTAAAAGGATATCTCTGGCTGTCTTTGAACTCCGTGAGCTGTTTGAGCTGCGTGGTGCTGGACTGAATCAGGTCATCCAGAGACCTTTCTGCTCTCTCCAGGTCTCTCAGCTCTTTCCTCAAGGCACAAGCTTTTTCTCCTCCACTAGCACCACCTTCAAAAACATCACCCACCCTAGAAAGAAGCATGTAAGGTTGTAACTACTGACAATTCAGACTTGAAACACCCCACACAGCTGCAGACATCTGAAGGTAACCAAACTTCCACTAGGGGGCAGGGTTTGTTTAAACACCCTCTTCTTTTAGGGGTTAGCATTTTACTAAGCTTTTACAGACCATTTAAAAATCAGAGATGAAAGAGTTACAATTTAAATGGCAAGTTGTTTAACATATGTGAATTTAGGGAGATTTTCAAACGAGTGAAAAAGTTTGTACAGCATTTAGTTTATTGACTACTAAATGTTATTGTTTTGCCTAACTGTATTGTTTCCCTTCCCGTGACCCTACAAGTACCTGTACATTGGGACTTACAGCCACTGGATGTTGTTCTTCGACTTCTTTCGGATGAGCTGGACTCCCTCCAGAACATTCGTGATGTCATAGATGCGTCTCTTCTGGACCTCCAGAATTTCGGTGGCCCAGTTGAGATCAAGAACTCCGTCAGGAGACTCCGCGATCAGTCCAACAAACTTCTTGGTCAGGAGGCCCAGTGACGTGTCGTACCGCGTCCGTTCACCTGGAGACTTTGGCGCTGAGGGCATTGACAGATAAAAATTGCACATTAGAGGGGGGTGAAAAGCTGACAGACACATCTACATCTCAACATACTGCTTTTTTCTATGGTTTTGGGAATCTGAGCTGGGTATTTCCCACCCTTAGAGATGCACTGCAACACCAAACCATAAATCTTATAGTTTTTTTGTGCTCATGTCCACTGTGGAGCCCCCTCTAAAGAACCCTATCCTATTACCCTCACACTGACCTGCACTTCACCTGACCTCCCCCTTTACTCAAACTACTGTCAAGTGTTGTTCTATCTTTTTTTATATCTCACTGACAATTTAACTAAACTTATATAATCCTGGTGGTGATCGTATTCAGCTACTAGTACCATGACAGAAACTCACATGATTCCTTTTCCCTACATGTGATCCACGAAAGTCGCTTTGCCATTGATAAGTGCGACTCAAGTCGGTTCTCGTCTTATCGGTTCTCAGCTGTAGGCGATTTGCCATTGTGACTCGTTTCCGTGCTCTATGGGTGGGATCGCTAATGAAAAGTTTGCTTGTTTCTCGTAGTGCTGTCCAGCACGCGCTGAATCCTCCAATTGGCCAATAAAGACAGAAAGGTCTGGACCTCGTTGTTAGTCCCCGGCACCATTTTTGAAGCGTCTATACTGAACTAGAAACTATAAAGAAAATTCTTACTATCTATCCCACAAACTACAACGATCGGAGAGGAAGTGGAGGTTCAGATGTAGTTTTGCTGGGCGGGTCATCCATTCACGTAGCTCTGCTGGCCAAATCAACAGCTGCTGTCTGATTACATCAGAATTGTCACCTCAGAGCAGGTCGCTTGGAACCATGAACAAGATGGTTCCATAAAGCGGGCCGAGTGGGGGGTGGCTACCAACAATGGCAAGGCCCTTTACTGGTGCGGTGTGGTGCAGAACCAATGAGCGTAGAGATCGTGGCAAACCAACAGAAGTGTACTCACTGCGGGGACTTGGTATCCTCGCTGTAATGCTGCCTTTGCCTTTGGGTGTGCGAAACTCTGGCAGGTAAAGAGGATCTTCTAGATCCAGCTTCCTTTTAGCCTGGGCAGAAAGGGGGTTTGTATGTGTTAAACAGAAAACTTCAAACAATCAAAACAAAAAGGCATCTCTTGGGATTTACTCCCCTTTTAAATACTAGGGATATGCAGAAAACAATGTATCATTCTATCCATTTAACCTGTCCAAGTGTATAGTCTGAGTTAGTCTAGACCACATAACAAATGCGAACACAAAGGAGATAATAGGGGTGTGTCAGAAAGTCCCATGCCATAAAACTGCCAACAACCCTCAAGTGCAGGAACAAAGTGCTCCCCTCACACTTTCTCAGGCGCTTCAAGAAGGGCTGATTAGATGTAGTGGGGAGTGATTGTTTCCCAACCCACTGCCTGGCAAGCTCCAGGAAGTCCCTGGAATCACTCAATGACCTCCACTCTTCCTGACAAATCCCCACCACTACCACATCTTGTTGCCTCATGTGCTCCAAGCTCATATTTGTATAACATCTACATAGTGCTGGGCCATAATGACAATTAAATATTAACACAGCCTCACATAACAAAAGTGAAAGTACCCCCCCCCCCCAACACACACTAAACAAAACCAGTGGTGGCAGAACTAGTGACATGGGATTTCACCTCAACAACCAGCCAGGTAATCTGTTCCATCTGGTTGGGGCCTCACCTCTGAGCTCAGTCTTACACCTTTCTCTTTGCTCCACAAATATGTGGTGACAAAGCCCTCTTTGTCATAACCGTATGCACGAGGCTACTAAGCTGAGTAAGTGAAAAGGTTTGGGGCAACTGGGGGAGGAAAAAAAAAAGTGTGAAAGGTTTGACCACATGTGGATGCGCTTATTTATGCAACTAAAGAACCCTGCCATTGTCCAGACGTCTTCCCTGACATGTCCACCTGTTGACTGGCGACATCTGCAGCCACATAGTGAGGATTTTTACCCCAGAGACAGCAATACACAGTCATTAACCAAAAATAAAGACATGAAACAAGACAGCAACTGGTTACTTCAAACACATTTTTTTAATTTATTTGGATTTTTTTTTAGTAAATTTGCTACTTTCCTGATTCATGGCAGTAGCTGTTAAGTCACACAGAGCGTAAATAATGACACTGACTGAATGTCTACAAGCTGTGACAGCTGGGTTTCGATCTGCGGGACCATCTATCATGTGCCAGTTGAGTTTCCATGTCTCGATGTCTAAAGCGCACTAAACCTCAGTAAACCATACATTCTCTTTTTCAGTGTTCTCTGTCAGTGAGGTTACTAAACTGTTAAAAGATCTGGATACTAGAAAATCTGCAGGCCCTGATGACCTCCCTCCTTATTTCTTAAGTCTAGCTGCACAAATTATAGCAGAACGGTTGTCATACCAATCTGGTTTCAAGAAACACAGCACAATGACTGCTTCGCTAAAAGGTCTTTAATGATGCTGAAGCTTTGGACACTAAGGATTACTGTGCAGCACTTTACTTACACCTGTCCAAAGCCTTTGATAATGCAGATCATGACACCTTATGCCACAAGTTCTCAGATATTGGCTTCTCAGATCACACTGTTGGCTGGTTCTCAAACTATCTCTAAGGTCGGAGGCTATGTGTTCGACATAACTGTACTTCATCTAGTTACCCAACGGTCACTAATGGTGTTCCACAAGGCTCAGGTTTATGTCCCACTCTTTTTACAATGTATATAAATAATGTAGGCCAAAACATTCCTGACGCATCCTTGCATCTCTATGCCGACTATACTGTTGTTTATTGCTAATGCAGTTGCCAAGGTTTTCCAGCTTCTACAGTCTGTGTTTGACATCATTCAGTCAGAATTATTCTATCTCAAACTGGTGCTAAATGAAGACAAAACCAAAGGGATGTTGTTTACCAACAGAAAGTTTGTGCCAGCAGTCCTTCCTCCTATTTCATCCAGGCATGGTGATATGAATACTTGGGAATTTTGGTTGATGCACATCTCTCTTTTAAACCACATGTTGAAAACTTGATAAAGAATCTATAACTGGGTTTCTTTTTCAGAAATAGATCTTGCTTAACTCTGAATGCCAGAAAATGCCTTGTAACCGCTACCTTCCTACCGGCCATTGACTATGGTGACATTATTTACATGAATGCCCCTGCCAGCTGCTTGCAGATGTTGGATGCTTAAGATTCACAACTGGTTGTAACTATTGTACCCATCACTGCACTCTGTACTCATTGGTCAGTTGATCATCATTAACTTCACGCAAACTCTCACACTGGTTCATCTTCATCTATAAATCCCTCCTTGGTCTGCTGCCTTCTTATATCTCCTCCCACATGTCACAACATGTGCTCTCAGGCCATCTTTACCTGCAGCGTTCCCTCACTGCGGACTGATCTTGGCAAAATGGCCTTATCCTACTCCGCTCCTGTAATCTAGAACACTTTGCAACAGGAACTGAAGCGGTCCACCTTAATTTCTTTAGGGGATTTTAAACATTTGATAATGTCAATAGAAACATCACAGCAAATATGTTCTTGTTTTAGTATTTTACCTTGTTTTATGGCATCTGGATTTATTGTTTTATACACTACTTTATTTTAACTGCTTTTTTATTGTAGTTTGTTGTTGTCTGTACTTTACATGTCGTCTGTCTAAAACAGGTCTCTCTTGTAAAAGGAGTCATCGCCGCTCAACGAGACTAACCTGTATAAATAAAGGTTGAATGAATAAATGAGTTAGGCTTTTTGCACAAGGGAACATTTTCCCCCAAAAAACAATCATGTATCCATCAGAACCAAGACAACAGTGGCAAATAGTCCATTTACAAATTTGAGTAACAGTCACAAACATGTCGTAAGAAGGAAACCAACTGTTGTGCTGTTGCAGTTGTACTGGCAAGGGTGGAGGTGGGGGCTTAGACTTTTCTGATGAGTCAAGCATTTTACACATACACACACTTTCACAAACTGAACAAATTCCAATTTAACTCAATACCCCTTAGAGAAAATCAGATTCAACGTGTAGTAAAATTGCAAAGCCCATTTGTATGAAAAAGAAAAAAGACTGTACTCCTCTCTCCACTGGTTCTTTATCTCAAAGAGGCAGTATCACTTGGCCCACATTTGCTGTAACCTCACCCTGTTTGTTTGCCTAGAAACACCCTGAACTCTGCAAGCGCATTCCTCTGCTCGTTTCATTCTTTTGCTGATTCCCGCCATCTCTGCTACTGTGGCGAAATCTCCTCTGTGGCATTCTCACAGTCACGTGAAGGGGCCATGCAGCCGGCCCTCTGATTAAACCAACAAACCCGGCTGGTCGGGCTGCACGAGGCTCAGACCCCATTCAAACCAAGGGCAAGTTGCAGTACGCCTGTAAAGATCTGCCTCACCTTCAGACAGCTTACAGATGGAAAATGACTGCATTGTTGACTTTGTGCATCTGAAGAGGTAAAGCAGAAGGGTGGGTCCACCTGCTGTGGTTGCTAATGAGGGGGAGGCTGTTTTGAAATGCAAAACTCCACCCGTTGAGAGCTCCAGTGCACGCCCGAGGGTGTGGTAAAACAATGAACGAGAGGAAGAACACGTACAGTTCAACAAATGTCACACCGCAACATCAGTCTGATATGAGGTAGATCTGGAGAAGGCATTTATCAGAAAACATAATGGGAGAAATACACCAAGTGGAAAAGGTGATACCAGTATTTAAACGTTATGGACACACATGCACAAGTAGGAAATAAAGTGGGAGTAAGGAGTTGCATTTTGCAGGAAATCTAAATATTCTACGTAATTCTGTCCCTCCCAGACAGGAGTTTGAATGAAACCTGAATATTGTAACTTATTCACACATTACCAACACACACCCTGGTTAAAACTCACATGTCCATCACTATATATGCTGCCTTTCACAACAACGAATAGGACTTGTAGGTCAATGTAACACCAAACTACAATAAACATGATGAGAGGATTAGAAAGTCAGCGATGAAGAAGCTTCTAGTTTGTTTGTGCAGACAGGAACTCCAGCTTAGACATCTGGTTTACTTGCTGAGAAGTTCAAATGGTGGTTATTGTGTTGTTCAACTTGAAAAAAGTGAGCGGCACACGAATAGGCAACATTTCCTGTAACCATAAAACCCATACCTAAAACAGGCTGAAGTTGCTGCATCAGATCCACCAAAGGAAAACCAAGCTGTCTGTTTGCAACTGAAAAATGTCCCAAAGAAAAGAACTCCCCGTTTACTCGTATTAAGCGCAACCATTCAGGTGGCAAATTGAATCTAATCTGTGCCACAAATCTTCCACGATAATGTTTTCGTGCTCAAATACATCATCTACTGATGATAAGAATGGAACGTCATCCTGCCTGAATCAAACAGGACCATTAGTCATGCAGCTGCGTGGGTTTTTTCTTTTATCCTGAACAAGTCGGACATGTTTTTGGTCTGTGCCCTACCCATAACAGAATATCTCTGTAAATTTTTAAGGCGCGTTTCCTCCTAGAAATACACGTAGACAAGCTTTACAGACCTGTGCAGAAATGCACACTCTTAAGACCACGTCACTACTGAAAGAAGTACCTTAAGTAAAGGCCAAGACCAAAGTGGATCTCTGGCAAAACCAGTTACTAAAATGTTATAATGGTTTGTGCAAACACGATGCTATAAACCTTTACACAACCATAATTTTCACATTACATGGTTTACTCCCGCAGCAATCTCATAAAATCCCAGCCAAAAAAGCTTGATAACTTCTGCTATATGTGCTGCAAATATACTGGAAATCTGTATAAATACATGTGTACTGTATTGTGAAACTAACTTAACAGTTTTAAACAAAAGGCCTTGAATGAACCACTGCCATTGTTTTAAGTGGATTTAGGACGCCAAACACCCTGCTTGGACTAGTCTCGTCTACTTAGTCAGAATCAACAAATATCTATTATTTTTTAGGCTTTCTGCAAACTCTTAGAACTCGTAGTATGCGTTATGGACGACTCATGCAATAGCAATCAAGATTTAGGGTTATATCTGTAAATTTGAAAAGTTATTAGCTGTAGCAGTCATCTTAAATTGGATTATCTCCCAAATCTAACAAGGTTGAGTCAGGTTCTCTGGATGGATTCTTCTTTGTTGAAACGTTTCGTCTTTAATACAAAAGAACGTCTTCAGTTTGAGGAGCTGCGACATGCTCAGCCCTAAAAGCAGCACCTTCTCATGGATCAACCAGTTTGCCGTTGACATCCAGAACTAGCTGTTCACATGATAAAGGAGGACCATCAGCCTAACAAGTGATTGTTAGTGCCCTGATGGCTGTTTACTATTCACAGAGGGCTGAGTGATACTAGCAATCACAGCATTGTAAGAGGGGGACAGTTGAACCCGGAGGCCTCCACCCCTGTTTAATGATGGATGATTTCTTTTCACAAAGATGGCCTCCTTTCTCCTCTCCCAAACCATCGTTCCTCTCTATCCAGGATGTGAACATCTTCATCCCTGAAAGAGTGACCGCTAGCCTGGAGAGGAGTGTAGACCGCAGAATCCTGGCCTGATGATTCTCAGAAGAGCATCATCAGGCCAGGACTCTCGGATGAGAAGCGAAACGTCTCCAGCTACAGAGATTCTTCGTCGTCATTCTCACACAGAGTCCCTCCCAGTTACATCCAACAATAAAATGTAAAAGAAAAAACAGTAAAAAGATCTAAGATATAATGAAGAAAAACATCAGCTAAATATACACTAAGCACTAATAGCATAAAAACAATACACCGAACAGCAGCACGCAGAATAGAAGTCCAGCTGTTTTTGTCTTTAACCTCTTTTGGATTTACCAAGTCCTGGATGACTGAGAATCTACTCGAAACTACTTCCACATCAGATTTTGGCACATCTGTGAAACTGACCGAGTTCAAGCATTTTTCTGTTTACTAAGGTCAATTGGCTGCGACAGCCATCTTGAATTGGGCCGACTTTGACCGTTACTCAGTTCCAGATGTAAGTATAAAGTTTTGAAAGTTTCATGGAAATCTGTCCGATGGTTGATAGTGCTCTAACAGTTGTGCCGTCCCGCCCTAAGTGGAGAGCAAACTTGCATCCAGTGATTACTTCTGAACAGTTTCATTAAAATCTGTTCAGTGGTTCATGAGATATTTTGCTAACAGACAGACAAATGAACACAATGTTATCCTCTGCTTACCACCATTTGAACTGATCTACCATCACTTCCAGTTGACTGTTATAGCCAGAACCAGTTTGGATATGAAATGTCCGTCACATGATCAGGTCCAATCCATATTTATCAGCCTTTACCTCCAACATGGACATCTATCATCTTCTCACCGAGCTCCTCAGACAGCTCTCACCTTTGTTTTCCCTGCTCCATGTTCATTGTGATGTACACAACAAAACCAAACTAGTCAGTGGTGGCTCTGTTTCCTGTAAATAGGCTGGATGGCTGATGAAAACCTTGAAGGCACCTACCAATTAGGGTCAAACGCACTTAAACACATTGATCCAGACTATTTTAGTATTTCTTTGTAAAATAAACGAGTCAGATCCACATTAAGTGCACCTTTGCACAGGACGTGCCAGGTGGTAGCCTACTTTTCAGTGTCCATGTAATCCTCTTGAGGGGCCTTTTAGTGGGCACAAGCTCAGAGGGAAAGGGGGGTCAGCATCACATCTGAAGACCACACCACAACCCTGAACAAGCCTCCAAGACTGGCCAATTGGAGAACCAAACTACAAGAGCATGAACCGTGCAGAACTGAGGGTGAGCAAATCTTCTCAGCTCATCCACATTTTCATAAATTCCCACAGGATGAGGAACCTCTGTTTATATAGAAACTTTCACCCATGAGTGATGTTTGCCTTAACGCCACAGCTGTTCAGCTGTGACCTCCGACCTGCAGGTCGCCCTTACAGTTAAACCGACAGGTTAAGATTAATGAAAAGTGCAGCTGACGCAGTTATCTGTGAGTGGAATCATCAAATGCAAGAGCAACGAGAGAATTTGCATTTCCTGCAAAAATGCAGTGTGAATGTTTCTTGCTGAAGAAGCTGCTGAAAAACAGCTGAAATTAGCTAAAAATAAGATGCTGAAATGTACCTGAATAGGAAAAACAAGCCTAAGTTAGCAGAAGAAAACAGAAGTGGAAATAATCTTTAAAAAAGTGGAAATTTCCCAAAAACAGCTGAATAGGAACGAAAGAAATGTAGAAAGAAGCTTAAATTTCCAAAAGGAAGTAAGTGAGCTTAACTGTGCTCACTAATGTTGAAAGAGGCAGAAATTAGCACAATAAAGTTGAAATTATCTGGAAAAAAAATGCAGAAAGTTGCCAAAAATAGCTCAATAGTAGCTAAAGAAATGTAGAAAGAAGCTTAAATTTCCAAAAGGAAGTGAAGTGAGCTTAACTGTGCTCACTAAGGCTGAAAGAGGCAGAAATTAGCACAATAAACTTGAAATTATCTGAGAAAAGCTGCAATTAGCCAAAAAGCAGCTGAACAGTAGCTAAAACAAGCAGAAAGAAGTTTAATTTACCTGAAGGAAGTGGGTAGAGAATAAATATGCTGAATTAGTCTGAAAAAAAGTTGAAATGCTTGCAAAAAATGTGGAATTAGCATAAAACAGCTAAATATTAGCTGAATTTGCAGAAATAGTTGAATTTAGCAACCAGAACTTGTTTGCATCAGCTTGTTTGTGCCCCCTGCATTGTCTGGTTGTGTAAAACTTGTCCAAGTTTTACACAACCAGACAATGCTGTGTCATAAAACCATACTTTATTCAAACATTAAGACGGTAAACGTATCAAATGTTTAAAGTAAACTGTACCATTTTTTGTGAAAAACAAAGTATATTTTGAATTTTATGGCAGCAACACCTCTCAAAAACATTGAGACAGGAGCTGTAAACATTGTGCAAATAAGAAGTAGCTGAAGGAGCTTTTAGCTATTTAGGTTCATTAACAACGGATCAGTAAGATAGCCGAGTATAAAAGAGCATTTCAGAGGCTGCACCTATCAGAAGTAAAAGATGGGCAGGAGTTTACCAGTTACAGAAAAACTGGTTTAAACTAGTGAGACGATTTCAGGATTATTTTTATTTAAACCTTTATATTACCAGGAAAAAAATCCATTGAGATTACTAATCTCTTTTACAAGGATGTCCTGGGCGAGATAGAGGATAATGTTCCTCAACTGAAAAGACTTTAAATATCTCATAGTCCATTTCAAGACTGAGTTCAAAGGACAAGGCTGAAAGTGAATATTGGATGCCCGTTATCTTCAGGCGGCACTGCATTAAAAACAGGTCTGGATTATTTTATGGACATCCCTGCATGGGCTCACGAACACTTCCACATATTCTGGTTGTGCATAGAAAAAGCCACACGATGTGAACACCATCGAGAAACACTACCGTCTTCTTTTAAAACGGACCGAGACAAACGAAAAGCAACATTTGAAATTTCTTTGGAAAATTATGGATGCCACATCCTACGTACTACACGCGCTCCGAAAGCCTGCTTCGCTGATGGTATTGGGGTGCATTAGTGCCTATTGCATGAGCAGCTCACCTGGAAAAGGCACCATCAGTGTAAATAAAGGACACACGGATGGTAGAATAATGTATGCTTCAGTCAAGTAAATAAAACTCTGAACAGCTAGAATCCTAAATCAAACAAAATTCCTCCCCAAAACCTACAACTGGTCTCTTCAGTTCCTAGACATTTATAAACAGTTGCTAAAGATCAAAGAGACACGGCTATATTCACACTTTTTAGATGTATTGCTGCCATCACATTCAAAATTACCTTAATTAATAAAATATACACTTTCTTAGTTTAAGCACTTGACATGTTTACTATATCATTGTGAATAAAATATTGATTTGAGATTTGCCAATCAGTGCATGTTGTAAATTATATGTTAATGAACTCTTTTCAGAAATAAGGTTGTGCTTTTTCACATGAGAAAGGAATGGGGGAGGCTAAATCATCATGCACACATCTGATTTCTGTTAGCTTCAGTTGGACTGCAGATAAATAATGTATTACAGTATTACAGAAAAAAACACGAGAACAATCCATTCATGCACAGCAGCAGCCACAGTGGCCCCTCTGTGGCTCATCACGTCAAAACGTATTTAAATGCTGCTTAAACACCAATGGAAATCATTAAATGATCCTCCCACTCCCTGAACACAACGCGTCTCCTATTAACAGTGTTGCAGGGTGTGTTTGATTTGTATACCGGCAGCCGCCCGGAGGAGGCTCTGATGGGTTTAGCCTCGGGTCCATGCGGGGTGGAGTACAGGCTGTTGGCTCTTTGTTCGCCCGCTGCCGTGCTGCTGATCTGGGTGAAGTATCCAGCTGCTATCGTGCTCATCGGCGGGCTGGACAGTCCGGTGATGAAGAAGTCCGAGCTCACCCCCCCGGAGGACAAAACCTTCATCTTCTGCTGGGAGCAGGAGAGTCCCACTGGGGCCCGAGCCGGTGCGGGAGAGACGCTTTTAGGCATCCGCATCATTTTCCTGAGTAAAAAAAAATTAATTCACCCGGAGTGGTCCTGCCAAAAAAAATAAAAAATAAAGAAGCTGTGAGCTAAAAACAAATATGGTATTAGCAAGATACAAGCTCGCAATTGATTTAAATTATCTACGTTATTGTAATAATTTAATATAAGTGTTAATATAACAGTTTAAATTAGCTTATAAGCCTAAAAATGCACATATTACATACAAAATATACGCGTGTTTAATGAAAATAGCTGTCAGCAGATAAGTCAATATAATCCTTTGTCTTGCACCAAACTATACAGGGACGTTGCCTTACCAGTTGTAAATAAAACTGCTTACTATACACATAAACTAGCTTAACGTCCAGGGTTAAATAAAATTAAAAAAAATAAATAAATAAAAAACAGTCAGGCTTTCCGGTTCCTCTCAGACTGGAGATATATTAGAACTTGTTGGGACTCCCTTTGAAGCGGAACACGACCCAGTCCGACACCACTGTCCGTCCACCTCTCAGGGCTCCACACTCGCCATACAAGGGAACAAGGGCTGAGGAAGAAGTCTTTTTAGCGCCAAACGTCGTACCGCGAAATTTAGATCTCCCGCGGTTAGAGCGCGCCTCTCATTGGCTGCCGGCACGTTCGACTTCTTGCAAAGAACAGTTGTCGAGGGCGGGGCCTGGGGCTTTTAAAGGGACAGTAGCACAGTCTCCGAGATATTTGGGTTGAACTTGAAAACAAAGAACTGTCAAGAGTATTTTTTTATGATAATGTGTATCACAGAGGTATAAAGCTGCATTTATCAGACTTTTTTTATTTTTATTATAAACTATGATAAACAACTTTATAAAACATACTGACTGACATGTCAATCAGTTCCTTAGTTATAATGTGATGTGGGTTTGTGGTTTAAATGTGCAAAACATTTATGAAATCAAGAGGCCAAAAAAAAAAACCCTTTGATGTTAATATTAGGATGTTTAACTTACTTTTCATAAATATTTAATTACTAGCTAGTTTCAATGAATTAAGAAAAAACGTATTAGTCAGTTCTGAGCCTTTAACGTGTTACAAACATAGCATCGTGAACAAAATTAAGAGAAAAATCAACAAAAAATTACATTTAGTAGCTTTAAAAAGCAATGAGTTTTGTTTATTTTATTTTCTATGGACATCTCTATGTAACAAAGATGGTTTATTCTGTACATGGTTTGGCTCGTGTCCATATAATGAAAGTGCAATGTGGTTACAAGTTGCTACTGTGGGCAGTCTGTAAATGATAATTGGATTCATTCAGCCTCATTCTTGCTTATTGGCTGACTAGAGATATTGAAAGAAAACATCCCCTCCCCCATATTCACAGCCAGCAAACCCAAGCCATATGACTTGACCCCCATTGGCCAAGACAAAGTAGGCTCTCAGCCTTGGCATGCCCTTTCTCATAGCTTGATATGGGCTAAATTAAACACACGCACACACATACATTTGAAAGTTTTATGAGGTTATTAGAAATGAACTGTGCTTATTTCCAACTTAAAATTGCTTTGACTTTAAATATTTAATGGTCAACAGGTAGAAACAGCTGATTTGGGGTCCTGCCTGTTACTCCAGATCTCAGACATGTTTGCAACATAAAGGAGAAGTTGCAAACTATCAGAACTGTAAATGGAGCCACCCGCTGTTTCGTCCCCTTTCTTCATGCAAACTGTTGAGCAGCTCATGAATGCTGCTGTGCAATCCAGTAAAATTAGATTTTAGTTTATTTTCATCTATTCTAAAAGCATTAACTGAGGTATTAAATAATTCTGAAGTAAATGCACACAATTCGCTGTTAAATAAAATCTCGTTCTCTTCTTTTGTTCCTTGGTTTTAGAGAAAAGGCTGAATATTACGGCATACAGAATACAATTATTTAAGACACAGTGTAGATATGAATTTGACATGACCATTGTATATTTCATCCATCATATGTACTTTAGCAATATAAAAAAATAATAGTTTGATGATGGTGCCAATAAAATGAAACAAAACTTTTGCTTCCAGAAGATGTTTCTCTTCTCATCTAAACATCTTGGGATTTCTAAGCTTATAAAACGATCAACTATTGCGCTTTAGACGGTCTTTTTAATGTGTACCATGCCTTTGAATCGCAGCAAACTGTTCATTGTTCACATAAAACTGAAAGTTGTACAGTTCGGTGCAAATCGTTCATCCAGTTTGGGAGCAGGTGTGTTTTTTACGAGGCGTCTTGTGTTAGTTTTGGTTAATTGTTCACCGTTTGCAACTCTGATTTAAAGTCAGATGTTGCTCATGTGACAGATTACAGATTACACCTTAACCTGAATAAGTTAATTTTAAACACAAAAAGTACAGCATGAGCTCCTTTTTGAGGTTGAGTTGGTTTCACTGCTGTTTCTTGCAGAAATTCATACCAGTTGCATTCTTCAGATGTCAGTGTGTCACGCGTTACATCCAGCACCACCATCTTGTGGCGTTTTCATGCACAGCTGCCATAAACATTTTTATCTGACTGGTTTTAAAACCATACAGTATCATCATTCTGCTTATATTTTTACTGGGAAGTGTTCTGCTCAAGATGGCTGAAAGTTTATGAACACTAAGCATCTTATCACATCTCTCCAATGAATTCAATGTGTTTGGAAATACTTTTAAAAAAAAGACATGACATGAAACATAAATATTCTGTACTAAACACAGAAAAAGAATGTTGCCCGAGGATGCAGTCATCCTTAAGTTTTGTTCAAAAATCTTTTTAATCTTCAAAAATTTAATCTAAATGATTCAATTCCATAAAATGCCATTATTTGGGAAAAGAAAGAAAGAAATATTGCAGACACAAATATTGGCACATCTGTGTTTTAATGTATGTATGATTAATTTAGATTCAGTTCATTATCAAAACAAATTCAACTCCAATTACCATCAATTAAATCCAATTATAACACGACACATTCACTGACAATAGATTACAAAATGACAATTAGTAAAAAGTTATCTATCTAAGGACTGCATCAGATCTTCTCTTATATCTCCTATCTTGAGCAGCACAATGGCGACAGTGGAAAGGAAAAACTCCCTTTAAACAGGAAGGAACCTCCAGGCTCAGGATGAGCAGCCATCTGCCTCAACTGGCTGAGTTCAGGAAGGAGACACAGACAAACTAAAATGGCTGATCTAGTTGTGGTTTCTGTGTGGAGAGAAGCAAAGAGGAACACGTTAACGACAGCAATTATTGCATGCTCATACATAGAACAAGAATAAGTACGCTCAATCATCCAGATAAATAAATCACAAAAAAGTTAAATTGTGTCATCTGGACAGTTTCTTTTTGAAAGAAACGTTTCGTCATTCATCCGAAAGACTTCATCAGTCTGAGGCCTGCCAACAGGATCTGTCGTACTGAGTAGCACCTTGTTGACGTGTTTCAAACCAGTCTGAAGTGGAATTCCCAGAATTCCTCCAGTTTACATGTGTAAACCCATGCAGTTTTCTGGGGCAGCACGGTGGCGCAACTGGTAAAGCTGCTGCCTCTCAGCGAGCAGGTCCCTGGTTCAAAACCTGATCCAGGGGGCATTTTTCAGTGGAGTTTGCATGTTCTCTCAGTGCATGCGTGGGTTTTCTCCAGGTGCTCCGGTTTCCTCCCACAGATCAAAAACATGCATGTTAGGCTGATTGGTAACTCTAAATTATCCCTAGGTGAGAGTGAGAGAGTGAATGGTTGTTTGTCTCGTTTGTCTCTATGTGTCCCTGTGATGGACTGGAGACCTGTCCAGGGTGTACCCCACCCCTCGCACAGTGATTGCTGGACATGGGCACTTGCGACCCCCATGACCCAAAATGGAATAAGCGGGTAAAAGATAATGGATGGATCCTGTTGGCAGGCGTCATACTGATGAAGTCTTTTGGATGAAAGACTAAACATTTCTCCCCCCCCCCACCCCCACCCCAAAAAAGACAGATTTAACTGTTTTGTGGTTCAAACATGGAGTACAGAGAAAAACAGCAGCAGAGTGGGGAAATGTGGTCAGTGTGTCCTCCAGCAGTCCATTCCCATAAGTCCAGTCTTTAAAGTAAACCCATCACTATGATGGACTTGTAACCTGTCCAGGGTGTACCCCACCTTTCACACAGAGATGGACATGGGCACCAGCAACCAAACGTTTATTTTACAGTTTATTAAGTGATTTGTTTACACTACTGTAGATTCAGTTTGTAAAACAGACAGGTGCCGTGCATCTTTTGCTCGAGTAAAATAAGTTTATTTGCATTGCAAAAATTTTCAGTCAGGTCATCTGGATGGTTTCTTTTTTTTTTCTGAGATGTTTCGTCCTTCATCCGAAGGACTTCTTCAGCCTGAAAAGCCAAAAACATACTGGAGTCCTCCAAATACCACACTATCATTTAACATGACTGCCCCAGAGGAGTTGATGGGGCAGTCATGGTGGTGTAGT